AATGGTTGATTTCGAATGCAACTAGGACATTATCGGTAATTAAACGATGAGGCACAAAGGCTGACTGGGTTGGAGAGATAATACTGCTCAACACATGTTAATTCGATTCGAAATGGTTTTAGATCCAAATTTATAGATGACATTACACAGGCTTATAGGCCTATATTCTGTCATCTTTTCTGGATTATTAGCTTTAGGAATCAAAACAATGAAAGTATGGTTAAGCATAGCAGGTAAGGTGCGAGTATTTAAAAAGGTAAGGACACAATCAAGAACGCTAGTGCCAATAATGTGCCAATATTTCGTGTAGAACAATACCGGAAAACCATCCGGGCCAGGGGATTTAGAGGGAGACATTTGGGAGATTGCTCGGGTTACCTCATCAGCAGTGAAAGGAAGGGAAAGCAGATGAGAAGCAGCACCGGTGATTCGTGGCTCAATATGTTCCAGCACTTCCCCCATCACTCTCTCGTCCGGATTTGTCGACGTGAATAGCCCTTGAAAGTAATTTGTGATGACCTGCTCAATATCCACCTTATCCTCCCGCCAAATACCGTCGGCATCTTTGATCTTATGCACCCAATTCTTTCGTTTGCGCTTCGTAGCTTGGTTATGGAAGAAGGAGGTATTTCGGTCCCCTTCCCGGATCCATTGAACTCGACTTATTTGCTTCCAATAGCAATCAAGATCTCCGTACGTCCTTTCAAGCTCCACCCGGAGCTCTTGTTGTCGATGGATCACTTCTGCCGATTGGGTGGCAGCACCTAACTCGCTCAATGACCTGTGTATTTCGTCAATTCGTTTCTTAGGTTGGTGAACCACAGTTCTACTCCAATGGCGTAGAGCTGCCCTACAGCCATCTGAGTTATTGATGATGGTATCGTAGGGGTTCGTTGATTGTTGCCCCGTCCAATGTTGCTTAATAATGTCCTCACAGTCCTCTCTCCTCGTCCACATCGCCTCGAAACGGAATGGTCTACCACGTGAGCCACTTGTTTCCGGCACCTCCCGAAGAGTATTAAGGAAGAGAGGAATATGGTCCGACCCCGCGAATTTCAAGTGATGAACTAAAGCATTCGGAAATAGGTTCATCCAACCATTTGTGGCACACACTCTATCGAGTCGGCATCTCACGGTGTCTGGTTCCTCTCGCCGGTTAGTCCACGTAAACGGCACTCCATTAAAGCCCAAATCCGTGAGTCCGCACTCGTCTAGTGTTTCCCTGAAAGCTGCAACTCGGCCTGGCTGCCTCACTGCCCCACCTTGCTTTTCCGAGTTGTCGAGAATCTCATTGAAATCTCCGCCCACTAGCCAAGGTAAATAGCTCTGGGATTGAAGGGAGCGCAACAACTGCCATGTAACCGATCTTCGATTTGGGTCCGGGCATCCATAGATACCGGTGATCTCCATTTCGTACTACTAGTGTTTTCCATAACTTCGACGTCAATGTGATTTTGAGAAAAACTTACCAGCTCAACTTGTATGTCCTTTTGCCAAAAAAGAGCTAATCCGCCCGATCTACCCACTTTATCAACCGCCAAACCAAACAAGTTCCACTTATTCATGAGTTTATTAACCAGTGTCGATGTCGCCTTTGTCTCCGAAAGGAACCACCAACTTGGGGTTATGCCGTCGGATGATGTCTCCGACCGTGTGAATTGTCAAGGGTGCCCCCAACCCTTGACAATTCCAAAATAGGCAATTCATGAGGATCGGCGCGTCTGCCCCGCAGACGTCGCCGTTGAATTATACTCTTCGTCCCATAAGGACAATTGCTGCCTTTTACCCTCA